TGTAGCAGCCAAGGTCTACGCTTCAAATCCCTTGAACTTGTCCCAGTTGCTCCATGTTTCAGCAAACTGCCTACGAGTCAACCTATTACTGTGATGATTCCTCCTCCTGACCTCTAGTGGGCAGTGTGATGAAACGAACTCTGTTCCCATCTAGCACTAGCAGCCAGGTTTCAAGAAAGGGTTTTCTTGCCCCTGCTCAGTCTTGGCAATTTTGTACAAGTCAAAGGAAGCCCCAGACTAAACTCGCACTATGGTTACCTTTTTGGAAACATCTTCATAAAAGGGAAGAAAGTGGTTTGAACTGGGTCATGAGTCACAGTCACACCCGGGTTATCAGATATTAGGGAACTGGAGGAGTAGTTGAAATCTGGAAATAATTGCAAACTCTGCAATGATTCATTTCAACTCTCTGTCCAGTTTAATCTTTTAGTGGAGGAAAATGAGGGGCAAAATCAGGTTGCCTGTGTTTCTATTCTTTTCTCACAAAGACCGAAGGACGCACTGGGTCAAACCTGAACAGTGCATTTACTCAGAGGGAAGAAGTAGGTGTGCAGGGTTTTAGTTACTGAAGAAACTAAAGCCTACACCTCTTGATGTGGCTCATTCTTCTTTATGGACCTCTCAGTATCTAAGATGGCACTGAGACACAAGAGAAGCCAATTTGATAGATGTTCAATTAGGTTATTAAAATGTTCATTCTTTTAGGTGATCTATCTAGAATAAAAGGGGCCTTTTTTCAAACCTATATACATGACATTTAAACTGCTAACGTCTGGGCTCACAATTTTTGTAAAAGTATTTTGAGACATGCCTGTAGCACTTAGTAGGTGCTCAAGAAAACATTTTGGGACTGAATGAATAAAGCAGGAGTAGGTATTCTGAAATGACTGTCTGATGAGCTACCAAAACATCAATCAATGTTTCCTCTCTGTCCGTAGGATAATACACTTGAGTATTTTGAGACTACCACAAGAAACTCTTTTATGTTCATACCTAAAATAAGGCAAGGTAGAGGGTGGGAATCCTACTGGAAAAAATAACAAACAGAGACTAATTGATGCTTTTGAGTTTGCATCACTTGGTGTAACAAGATTTCTGGAAACCTCAAACCTGGGCTGTGTCTGGAGGCACGTCAGTTTCATACTTACTGAGCCATATAAAAGCCCGTCGGTGTCCATGGCCAAGTACTGGCCGGTCTCGGTACTCTTTATATACACCTCCCCCACGCTTTCCGCACTGAGCTGCAGCTGAACTGGAATAAAAATAACACAAGAAAAAGTAGATCAACGTGACACTTGTGCAGATAGGGCCCGGCGGCCAGGATAGTCGGTTCTGGAAAATTCTGCTCATTCATTTTGTAGAACCCCAAGGATGAGCCTCCCATTAATCAGAACATAGAAATACAGTTCCTTTTTCTTTGCCATCCAGAGAAAGCTGTGCATGGGGAACTATGTTCTTAAGAGGAGGAGGGATGATGGCTAGCTCCTCTGGTTGTCTACCCTGTTTGTTACAATAACCCCATGGGGCCCTTCAGGGTGTCCTGCCCCCTCCTGCAGTCTCCTGGAAGAAAATAATCAGGAGGGAATGGCATTTGCTTCCCTGGCTCTGCCATCCCATCAATCTTGGGGTGCAGTGGAGCTGACCAGCCTGTGACTCTTGTGGACAGATTTTTTGATGTTGTTGTTGTTTGAAAGACAAGGTCCTGCTAACTTGCCCAGACCAGCCTTGAACCTGCGATCCTCCTGCCTCATTCTCCCATGAAGCTGGGATTACAGGGGGGCACCGTCACACTTGGCTTTGTTCTATATTTCTATTATTTCTTCTATTATTCTATTATTTCTTAGTTGTTGTTAGACACAATACCTTTTATTTATTTATTTTTTTTACTGTAGTGCTGAGGATCATGCTAGGCCAGTGCTCTACAGCTGAACCATAACCCCAGTCCCTTGTTCTATTATTTAAAAAAAAAAAAATCTGGAATTGTTATTTTTTTCCAAACAGAAAAGTTTCCCAAGGAGTGAGGATGGCTTTCAGCTATGAAATGCAGGGGACCAACCACCGTGAAGTTCAGTCGACCTCTCCACCCCTGGGGCAACCCACCTGGGGTCCAGACCAAGGGGAAGTCACTAGCTTCCCATCTAGAGGGCAGCAGTGGTGAGAACAGGGGTTCTCAGCTGGGACCATTTTGGGCATTGTCTGGGGATGGGTTGGATTGTTACAACCAGAGGGGTTGGAGGGTGCTCCTGGTTTCTAGTAGGCAGGGGCCAGGGGACCCTGCAAGACATCTTATAATGCACATGGCAGCTGTCCAGCAAAGAACTGTTCAGCTGGAAGAGTCCGTGGTGCCCAGGTGGAGAAACCTGGAGGCTGAGGGCAGTGACTGCCAGTAACACTGAGGTCTGCTCAACTGGTTTTGCACAGGGACACTTCCAAGGTGCCCTCCCAGTGCTGGGTCCATAATCACAGTCCAGGACCCAAGAGATGAAGACGTTCTTGCTTGTTCATCTCAGAGTGCCTTCGAAGGCAGGGGCTTTGAGGGTTCTCATTTGGGAATTGGGGTTAATTCTGGACTCTCCTGGACAATTTCTTTGGTCACCAGAGGATCACAAAGCATCCACACAACTAGGAACAAAATCCAGACCAGGAACTGGCTCCTCTAGGGCTGGACTTAGGCTGAGGGGCAGCAGGGTTGGAGCATAGGGCTTTGGCTCATAGGTCTAGACCCTTTCTTTGTTTTTGTTTTTTCATTTAATTTCTTTGAATAGGAAAGAATCCATTCCCATGTTTCAAACTTGGATACAGTCTCAGAAAAGACAGTGGAGAGTCCCCGGGTACCCCTCCCTCCGTCCTACCATCTAGCCAATGAAGAAGATCCTGCCCTTCCTCCCTGTGCAGTTCATCATCCTGCGGAGACAGAAACAGCAGGAAGCCCTCCTTGTAGACAGATGATACGCGTGGATTTTGCCAAATATGCATCTTGTTTTATTGTACACAATCCATGACATTCGACTGGTTGGTTGGTTGGTTGGTTGGTTGGTTTCTTAACAACTATGGCAGTACTGAAAGGTTCAGCTCATTGTTTTTTTCTGGTTGAATTATGTTCCACGATGTGACTGAACCATAGTTATTTAACCACCTCCCTATTGATAGGCCCTTATTTTCTCCTTTCCTGCCATTTTCCTCAGCTGATTCACCCCCAGGGCGATACACAGCTAAGTCACTCCCACCGAAGACCGGAAACATACCAAGGATGCTTCTCTCATCCTTGGAAGCCTTTGCTCTAGACTCGGGACTCCTTCCAGCTGCCTGTGGTCAGTGAAGTTCATTGAATTCACTGGAAGGGAACCGGGAGCCTCTGGTCTTTCCCACAAGTCCTCCTGTCTTCATTTAACTCTAAGAGTGTGGTCATGAAAGAAGAGGCCAAAGAGCTTCCATTGAGATCTGGGCCCGGCTCTCTCCGGCCTCATGTCACACCACCTGCTTGTTCAGTCACTCCAAGCTCTTTCTTGCCCCAGGATCTTTGCACATACTAAGCTCTCTCTCTGGTAACTTCTTCCTCTAGATAGTCACAAGATTGCTTCTCTCCTGCTCCGGGCCTCAACCTAAATATCCCCTCCTTGGAGACACCTTCTCCAAGTGTCTGATGAAGTGCTGTGTGGCGCTCTGTATGGTGGGTCCTTTCACCCCACCCCTGCTGTGCCAGTACTTCCCTAGTCCCCACATGGCTCTTTCTCAGGCCCTTGCTTGCTTCTTTTGTGGACTTTAACATACAATTATTTAATTATTTAGGGGTTCATCCATTTGTTTCTGCCTTTCCAAGAGAAGGTACATTCCGAGAGGAAGGGCAGGAGTCTTGGCTGATCTGTGCCCGCTTGCGTCCCTGGCCTCTCACAGTGTCCTGCACATGGGGGGACAGACAGCATCCACTTGTTGAATGAATGGGGTCAGGCAAATGTTGGCAGAGATGCTGCTGGTGGTCCCCTATCAGTGACCTGTGAGTTTTGAACTGTGATCCCAACAATGCAAAGTGAGATAGAATAAAGGTGAGAGTCAAAAGGCTCGAGGCTGGCCTCTACCCCCAACCAGATGGCTATGCTCCATCCCCTCTCTGGGCTTCAGCCTCCTTATCTGTACAATGGAAAGATTTTTCTTTCCCCTGTACTGGGAATTGAACCGTGGGAGCACTCTAGCACTGGAAAACATCCCTAGCCCTTTTTATTTTTTTTCATTTTGAGACAGCTCCTCATTAAATTGATGAGTCTGCTTTCAACTTGCAATCCTTCTGCCTCAGCCTTCCGAGTCTCTGGAATCACAGGTGCACACCACAGCAACCAGCAGAACCACGTACTTTATGATTCCATTAAAATGGAAGGCCCCAAAGAAACAAATCTATAAATATAGCAGCAGGTTAGTGATAGCCAGGGCCTCCACAGGGGTGGGAGTGGAGATGGAATTATAGCTAAGGGACATGGGGTTTCTTTTTGAAAATATTCTCAAATTGATGGTGGCGATGGCTGTCCAACTCTATTAAGAAAAAAAATGTAAGGAAAAAAACCCACTGGATGATATATTTTAAATGGGTGAATTATAATGGTATGTGAATTATATCTCAATAAAGTCATTTTTCAAAAAAAAAGTCCTCTATTTTCAATGGACTTTATGGCCTTCAGAGAACCTTCACATATATTTTTCTCTGGATTTCTCAGCATAATCCTGCAGGTTTAACTGAGCCTGAAGGAAGGTGATAACCATAATGGATCACCTACATGGGTCAGGCCTCACGCTAGTTTCTGTCATAGTACAGTGGACAGTTAGAGAGCGTGGGCTCCAGTTCTGATTGGGCTGTGTGTTAGTTGTGTGGTCACTGGGTGGGCTGTTGGTCCCTGTGTCCTATTACCATTGCTGTCATGAGGATTGAATGAGCTCATGCATGGAGAGAGGCCACTCCAACTGTGATCCTCTCCTCTGTGCTTATGTGACCTCATCTGCTCCTCACCCAGATCCCCTGAAGGAGGTGGTCCCTACTCCAGGTGACAGATGACGAGCTGGAGCTTTGGCTAGAGCATCTGCTTGCACTCCAAGTTATAAGAAGAGGCGACACCATGGCCAGAACGAGGCTCGAGTCTCCCAAGGATCCTGCGATTTCCTCTCTTTCACACAACCTCTTGAGCTCCAATTATGGGATGGGCTGATCCAAATCCAGCCATACTCTCCAGGTTGGACCCCTTTATAATCATGATGGTGGGCGGTCCTCCAGGTCCCCATTGGTAACCATGGAATGGAGAGAGGCTAGTGCTGGGGACTTTTTTCTACCCACCACCCATCTATGCAAGTATTTCAACAAACACGCTAGGAGAGCTATAGAAATCCCAAGGGGCAGGTCCTTTTGGATCTCAAGGAGGATTTTTACAAGGATTTCCATTTCTGTGTTCTGTTCTGTTGCCCATGTGTCTTGCCTTGGGGCCGAGTAGAGTTGACTTTGCCTTCTGTGGAGTTCTGTCATGGCCTCACAGACGTCAACAAGAGCCGAGTCCTGCCTAGCACGTGACTGGCCCTCAGCCATGCACCCCAACACCAGGGTCGTTGTGAGAGTTCAATTCAAGAGTTTCCTCTGTAAATATTATTTCTCCAGGATGTCCAAGTTTCATAGCTCATTTTCACTGGATTGCTTTCTGGCTGAGTTTCCTCAACATATATCCTTCTGCAAGCAGAGCCGGCAGGAAGGAGCAACACCCAGCCGTGCTGCTCATGCAGCTGACTAGGTGTCCAGCTCTCTAGTGTGACCTCATCCCAGTTTTTCCAGACCTACATCCTCTTGCAGCTGCTGCTAAAAAAGAGCAAGGGAGGATAGAGCCTGAGAAAGGGGCCTCAGGGCGAGGGAGGGGCTGGCCACCAGCAGGGTGGGGTGGGGGCTGCTCAGGCCTGGCACGCTCCTGGGAACTGTGCTCAGTGCTAGGCACAGACCCTGCACCCAAGGCTTATGCACGTCAACAACAGACACAGGAACCTACACGTGATAAGGCAACACAACAGACCCCGCTGGTTTTTGAGCAAAAGCAAACAAAAATTCACAAATTACAGTAAGAGTTCTCACCCTCCTTCTCTCTCTCTCTCTCTCTCTCTCTCTCTCTCTCTCTCACACACTCACACACACATTTCTCATTCAAAGAAAAGCAGAAAAAAACATACGGCAAAAACCCAAGCTGTGGGAGAATATAATAACTTGAACCGCTGGGCACAGCTCATATGAAGTGACACATAAAACGGCACTAGATACACACCAAATGCTGCTCTGGGGAGGATGAGAAGAAGGACTAGGACTGCAGAGAGAATGGAGGAAATGTCTCTTCCATCCCTTTCTTTAAAAATAATCTAAGGCTACCTCTGAGAGATGGGGCACCGGTGTTTGAGGATCTTTGGTCTGTTTCTAACACACTTTTTTTTTCCTACATAAATATTCATGAGCTACGCAGATTGGTTTGTGTTTATTAAAAAGTTTTCACCAAAGAGCTACCATCTCCCACAATTCTTTTTTTTTGTTTTTTGGACCAGGAATTGAACCTAGGGGTGCTTTACCACTGAGCCATATCCCTAGTCCTTTTTAAAATTTTATTTTGAGATAAGTTCTCACTAAATTGCTTAGGTCCTCACTAAGGTTCTGAGGCTAGCTGGGAATTCGTGATCCTCCTGACTCAGTCTCCTCATCCTAATTCTTCTTCTCTCTTTCTTTTCTTTCTTTCTTTCTTTCTTTCTTTCTTTCTTTCTTTCTTTCTTTCTTTCTTTCTTTCTTTCTTTCTTTCTTTCTTTCTTTCTTTCTTTCTTTTCTTTTTTTGGGTGCATGACCCAGGATTTTGCTCATGCTAAGCATGTGTTCTACAGTTGAATTACACCCCCAGCCCATCTTATTCTTTTTTTTTTGGGGGGGGGGGAGGAATACAGTAGTTGGTTTGGGGATGTTGTAGTCATCAAAAATAAATGTCAAATAATCTGAAATGTACAAAATCACCTTTGTGGACCATGCTCATATCTTGTCCTGTGCTCATCGTGTAAATCCCATCACAGGTCTCTGAATACTAAAGGCACCTGCCTGAAAGTGAGCTCGGGGCTTTTGAGTGGATACCAGCCCTGCAGGACACGTGCCTTCTGTTTGAGAAACGGCGAGCACGTCGCCCTGGTTTGTCCTCTTCTCCCCAGAGCCTTCCATCACGTCTTAGTGGTAGCTTGTTGGCAGTTAGGTGCTGACCTCTAACTCTCCAAGGACAGAAAGAAGGAGAAGGAACCAGGAGCCTGCCATGTGAGGGGAGCCTGGTCACTGCTCCCCATCTCTGAGCCCAGCCTCTCCCTACCCTGCCTTAGGAACTTTTAAAGATAAGGTTACAACGGGTGCTGGAAAGCGTGGAGAGGAGGCCCAGCTTGTGCAGCCCGCCTGCCCTTTAAACCAAGGAGAGGCCTCAGGGATGACGCGGGGGCTTATTCTGGGCCGGAGACTTCCCGTCCTTTGCCGTGTTTACCCAAAGTGAAGTCAGCCTCATTCAGAACTCAGGGAGGTTGTTTTATGTCAGTGGCATTTATAATTAAAACGTAGCCACAAGTCGGGCTCCGCAGAACATTAAAGAAAGACAGAGAAGGGGAAGAAAGTGGATTTGAGGGGGAAAAAAATTCCGATTCCAGTGGTTTGGAATACACATGTGCACACAGGCACAGACTATAGGAGAAAGATATTTTTCTAAATTTATGTAAGTGCGTGCTCTTTTAATAACTGAAGATGATGGTTGGAAATTTTTATTTAGTCTAGAGGTTGGTATCATATATATATGATAGCATATTTATATTTCAAAGTTTATCTGGAAAAATCCCTGCTGATAATCAGATGAGGACTCTGCAGGTAGGGAGAAGGGGTAGGGAAGCCCTTGTTTCCCTATGACCAAGCTTGGGGCACCCTGTTGGGGGTGGTGCACTGGAGATCCGCTCTTCTCTTTGGCCTCTGGCAATGGGGCCAGCTCTGCCCACCGTGGCCACCTGGGAAGACATCTTGACTCAGGGCTCAAGTTAGTGGGGAACAAAGTGCCTTTGAGTCACATCAAACCAGGTGACCGATGTCTGGATTCCCCCAAACAATAGTCAGGGAGGGATTTCACTGAGGAGCCGTCTGCCTGGATTAAGGGCTACGAAGTAGAATTCTTCTGACCAGCAAACCCCCCTGGGGCCTCTAGGATGTGGCTGGATTTATAAATATTTGATTGGAATCCACTTCGCTCAAGAACATTTCCATTTGTGTGGTGAGTGGTGCCGGTAATCCCTCTTCCCATGCAGCCTCTTAGGTGTTTGGGGAGGCCAGGGGCTGTGGGCTCCCGAGGCTGCAGCCTGGGGATGCTCGGGAGAATATCATTATTCTGCAGTTATTATTCCTATTGAGGAGGAAGTCACAACCCTGCACCCCTGTTGGCCAAGTGGCTAGTTGGAAGTTCAACAGGGCAGAGCTTACAGGGACAGGGCCCCGGGCATGTTCAGCTACTGTGCCAGGCCTCCAGAGCTCCCACCTAGGTAGTCCCAGAAAAGCTGGCATGAAAAATCACCTTCGGTTTTGTGAGCAAGCATGGAATTCACTTAATGTAGCAGACTCGAAAGATGGAATGTTGAGATGGGGGAGGCCCAGATAGCCCAGGAGTGATGAGGAAGAGGACTGTCAGTCTCAGCACTGGTCGCCTGGCACTGTACAAACATGGTCACATTTCAAATCCCCTCTTGCCTATGCGTTAGATAGTATTGCCCTTTTTTGGTGGGTGGGAAAATACTAGGGATTGAACTCAGTCAGGGGCACTCAGCCACTGAGCCACATCCCCAGCCCTATTTTATTTAGAGACAGGGTCTCACTGAGTTGCTCAGCATCTCACTTTTGCTGAGGCTGGCTTTGAACTGGAGATCCTTCCGCCTCAGCCTCCTGAGCCGCTGGGATTACAGGCATGTGCCACCAGGCCTGGCTGCCTTTCTTATTTTTAAAATGAGGAAACTGAGGCACATAGAAGAGAAATAACTGCCCCAAAGTGACATAAAACTAGTAAATGGCAGTTTGGGGGCCTGTACCTCCACCCACCTGATCCACATGACTCTGTGTGCTTATTTAGTAGTGAAACCACTGTCGTGGGGTTGGTGTGCAGGGAATGGTGAAATGTGGAAAGAACCTTAATACTGGAAGCAAAGTACTGGTTAGCCAAGCTGCCCCTATTGGAAGCTGGTCACCCCCTGTCAGCTTCAGTGTTTTCAGAGTGACTATTATTAGGAAACTCATGGGGTTACAGTTAGGTAGAAATGAGTCTAGCACAATGCCTGGTGGAAATCAGTATTTGAGAGTAATTATTGGATCTATTGTTGAGCTCAAATTTATCTGCCACCAATACAATTCAGTTACTCATCAAATTAATGCATACCAAGGGACAGGCTATGGGCCAGACAAAAAATTGCAATGTTGAGCATTAAGAGACAAAGTCCTTGCTCTCAGGGAGTCCAGTGGGAAAGAAAACTGTCAAATGATCACACAAATGAGTGGAGAGTATAGGTGCAAGAAGGGAACACCCCAGGACATACCCCTCAAATGTGCTATATCCAAAACTGAACTCGCCATCTTCTCCTGCCCCTTCACCTCTTTCTGGATCCTCCTCCTCATGGTGACACATCTACCCTTCTCTCAGAGTTAAAACTCTGGCTCCAACGGGAATCTTCTTCACAAACTGCTCTCCATGGGCCCCAGAGGCTGCAGCTCTCCCTGCCTGGTTGTACCTGGCATGGATGGTGTGGCAGGGTAACCGGTGTCCAGAGCATAGATTGCCCACCACCTACAGAGGTGATCTTCTCCACATGCAGAAATTCCCACCAGTGGAGACATTCTACTCAGTTCTCTGTTAGGATGGGAGGGATGGGGACCTAAGTACCACAATAAGGTACTTGGGAATTTACTCCCCGCTATGGGTAGTAGGAAGACAAATTTTGACAACTACCTTTGCCCAAGGCAGATCAACTAGTTGAGGACAAGGATAAGATGTGAAAGAAATTATTTATGTAGATTTATTTAAATATCTGATTGTCTGTTAGGAATGCTCTTTCTGAAGGAAGGCTTGGAGTGTGACTGCCTACCTGTCACAACAGTCTAGTCACAATCAGACTAATGGTCAAGGAATAGGACTCAATCCCCAGTCTGTGCAGATCTCAGTTATCCAGGGATATCCACACCATGCCTGTCTAAGGCTGATCCTGTTTAGGAATAACCCTTGAGATGCAGAAGGACCATGGCAGTACCACCACTGGGCAGAAGAGGGCGACAGATCCACACTCGGAGTCCATTGGTGCCCAGGAGGACTCCTCTCAGTTCTAGGATCTTATTAATTTTCAGCCTTGTGAAAGACACAGAGCAATGCTACCATTTTCCATTCCACCACTAAGAAACTGAGTCTCTGACAGTAAAATATTTTCCTCAAAATAGAGAGCTGAGGACACTAGAATTTGGAAGAGTCATACAGCTAAGGTGACTTTAAGTTTATTTTGCAGAACACTTCATACAGAACGGAGAGAATGTTTCTTGTCTAGTTTGGAAGTGGTAGAGCAGGAATACGGGTATTCCAACCCTAAATCTGGGCCCCTGACTCTACAGAGAGTATGTGGATTTTCCAGTTCTGAACTGAAAGAACAGGGATGGATTTCTGCCCCTACACCCTACTCATTCTGATTTTTGTCCCCTTGTTCTTAGTTCCAGAGAAAGAAAATAATAGGTCAACATTACCACTCTGAACATTGGCAGAGAGGCGCTGAATCAAAGCTTGAAACTAGACCCTTGCCCTTCCTGGTCAGTGGCATTATAGAAAAGAGGGCACTAGGAAAGTTCCTTACTATTGTGCTGGATTTCCAGATGCTGCATTGAATATGTAGAAATTTTGATGATGATAACAGCAGTATTAATCAATATTTGCTGCACTTTTACTCTGGGTGGGACATTGTGCAAGAGCTTTCAATATATCATCTCATTTAACTCCCCCCAAGAAACTTGTTGGGCAGGTAACATTATTATTCTTATTTTACAGTTGGGAAATATAAAACCAGAAAGATTAAGTGTCTTGCCCAAGTTCACCTGGCCAATAATGCAGCATCACTTGGATGCAGACACCTGACACACTCCTGCGCCTGCTGTGCTGAGTCCCAAGGGTCCTGATGTCTTCAGTCAGGCAGCCAAATCCACAGCAGACCTCAGAAGCTGTCCTGATGTTATGCACCCAGAGTGCAGTCTATAATGTCAATGATAGAATGACAATAACGAAGATATATGATGTTTTTTTACAGCTTCTCATGACCCTGCAATTCAAGGTTTCCCAGAAGAGCTGGCTTTACCCCAAGGAGCATGTCACCAAGGCTGTCCTTCCTCTCCCATTCTGGATATCAGAGCCTCCTCCATTGATTCAGAAAACTGATAAGACTTACTAGAGACATTTAAAGCCAGGGTCAATAAAAGCTTGTTTTCCTCTTGTGTGGGCCGATCACATGAATAAATTGTATATCATGCCCAACACAATGGACTACAATCTTAGTCCATTTACTTGCAGGAAATGCTGCTTGTATTTAATGAACTAGATTTTTTTTTCCTTGTGGATTACTCTGGTACTTATTTTCCACTGAGAATAAAGCATGCAGGAAGTCCATTTGAAAAAAAAAAAAAAGTCACCAGAACAAAGCCCTGACCTTAGCCTTCCTGCTTCTCTTCTGCAGGTCTGGGTGGAGGGTGGGAAGGAAGGGACAATGCCAGCTGGCCCATAAATGCTGGCATTCATGCCAGTTACCTGTGCACCCGGGGGTAGAGAGCGGGTAGCACTTAAGTGGTCCTTGTACGCCAGGCTGCAACCTTTGGAGCATGGCCTGCTTACTACCCGATATGTAAGCCAGCACCTCCAAGGCAGCGTTTTGCATTCCATTTTAAAGCCAGTCTCATGGAACCTGACTTCCTGCCTGTGCTCTGACATCTCTTCAATTCACCCACACTTCCCTTCTCTGGGTTTGCAGCGTGCTTGACTCTTGAGATTGCAGCTCCCAGAGCAGGATCCAGATCTGACTTTTAGCTTCTCTATGACATCTAATGCTTTAGTGGTCCTCAGGGAATCTCCAGACACCACTGCAGGACCCAGAACCCTGAAGTCACACCTACACTCCAGCACCAGAAGTACGGAGGCAGAAGGAAGAGCTCTTATGCTTAGTCCAGAAGATTCTTTTCCCTGAAGTGATACCTCCATCTATCAACATCCTCGGAGAGTCGGGCTGCCGGGAAACCTGGAAGAGGCAGTCAGCCTTTGGCTGGACGGCGCTCCCTCTCCGGCTTCTATAGAATCTGGAGAATGACTTTACCCCTCCTGATTACCACAGCCACATCTGCATGATGTGCGGAGCGAGAGCTGCATAATTTATGATGTGTAAGGCTACAGTTATACACTAGGATTTCACAAATCAAGCCCAGCAGAAGCATAACCTGGAGAGTCCATTCACTTGAAACCGAGCCCAGGTCTTTGTGCAGGATTTACCGTCCCTGCCCATCTGGCTCTTCCCATGCTGGAGCAAGCCAGCCCCGGGCCAGCCTCAGGGGCCAGATCTTTCACTAGTTACAGAAACTCAGGAAACATCCAGCAATTGAACATTGGCAGCCAGTTGTGTTAGGTCAGCAGAGAATCCCTTTAAAAACTTGCAATAGTTCACCTTTAGATATGCAGTAGCCCCCAACTCCCCTTTTTCCAAACCCGGGCTCTTTGCACAGGTATGGTACCTCCACCTCTGAATGTGTCCTGCCAGTAGAGCCTTGGAGAAGAGGGTACCAGTGCTCAGTTCCCCCCTTTCCCATCCTTGACAGCAGAAGACAGAAGCAAGAGGTATGGATGGCTACTTACTGTGTTGGTCGCTCCTGTCTCTTGTCCCATCCACTGTGCCATCAGGAAGGATCCTCAAGAAGTGGCCTCCGTTGCTACAGTAGAGCAGTTTGGGCTTCTTGTAGTTCCCTGGAGGCAGATTGAACTTCTCGGTCAGGGCTGTGAAGGTTGTGATTTCCCCTTCAGCCATGGCTCAGTGGTGGCTGCTGGTGACACCTTCAGGACTGTAAGAAATTAAACAAATCTGTAGAATATTCTTCCAGTAAAGGCACGGCAGACACTCAAGAAGAGAAGGACTGCTTCAGAGCTCAGGACGCCTGGTGAGCTTGTGACCACAGACTGGCCAGGTGATGGCCACAGAAGACGGGCCTGTGAGGTGGCCGCTGGCTAAGGCAGGGTGGTCCCTGGCCTGGGAGGGTGTTTCACAGCCCTTCTGTCTTTGCAACTGGACGTAGCTTGGGACCAAGCTGTGCATTTTTTAGAACTTTAAATTTAATCATTTAGCCAAGGGGAAAAAATCATGTTTTGGTCCCTCCTTCTGGTCCACACACATCCTCAAATTAAACACTGAAGTTGCACTAAAATAACACCTGGGTCTGGCCGAAACCCACAAGAGCCGAGAGGCCAGGCCTGAGGTTCTGCCCTCCACCCTCACACTGTTTAGACTAGGTGCCTCCTGGCTTATGGCAGCAGAGAACACAGACGGCAGGGACATTCGGGCCTGTGAGCAAAAGACGGCAGAGACAGCAAAGGGTTAAAATGGGAAGGAATCATTCTGGGCTGGTGAGGAGGACAGAACCAGGACCAGGGAAGGAGGCAGGGAGAGGGTCATGTGTGGTTTTTAAAGGGGAAGCTTTAAAATTTTATGAGCTAGATCACTACAAAGGCTCTGCCTGGTTACTGCTTGTTCCATAGTTTTCATTTATCCTCATAGCACACAGAGAAGTCGGGTCTGTCCCTGTCCCAGGCCATCTTCATCCTGATTATTTTGTAATATGAGACATAACACAAAAACTAATGGGCTGGAGATATAGTTCAGTTGGTAGAGTGCCTGCCTCAAATGCCCAAGGCCTTGGGTTCAACCCCCAGCAACACACACACACACACACACACACACACACACACACACACAAAACTTCCATATTGCACATTAAAATCTCCTAATGTTGTACATACCACTGCATACAATTTACTTATTATTATAAATATGCATGGATTATTACCCCCACAGTATTAAAAAAAAACAAAGCCAATTAATGTTGTATTTAAAACATGAATTTCCCCCATGGAAGGGCTAGTGACTACACAGGCTGGAAAAGAAACAGGTCAAAGACATCAGGAGCTGCTGTAGGGGGTTTGCTTCTAAGTGGAGAAGGGCCAGCTATAAGGGCGAAGTGGTCTTATAATCATAGCAACCATCACCACCGACAACATATTCTGAGCCACAGGTTAACACCTGTTAACATCACCACGATCCTCTGACATGGATGCTAATATCCTATCTTTTATAAAATGAAATCAAAGCTTAGAGAAGTTACCTGGCTTCAGGTAACTTCTGAAGGTCAACAGCTAGAAGTGATAGAGCTAAGACTCAAAATGAGTCTGAACACACAACCCTGAGGTGTCCTTGATCACCGAGAACAGGTTAAATGTCTTCGCGGAGGCTGCAGTATTGGCAGAAGCAGGGTTTACCCATGCCTGGCAGGTACATTCGCCTCCTTAAATTAGGTTCTTTTCATTTTTGACCCAAAGGTTGTCTCTCTCCACCAACAGCCTCTGCTTTTGCCCTCTGATGACCTTGAATCAGGACTCAGGCAGTTCCTCATTCCCAGGAGGAGGCCAGATCACTGAGCACTGTAAGCCCAGGGAAGACCTGCTGGCCTCCCTCCGTCCCAGCCTACCAGAACCTTCAGCGGCTCCTGCAGCAGCCTCCTGGAGTTGCTCTTACAGAAAGCAATTCCATCATAGATCAAGGCACCAATCTGAATAATTTGTCCTTGTGACATTTAAATTGGGACTGATGTTGTAAACCTTCATTTTTTTTCTCTGCTAGTTTGGGTATATTTCTCCTAATGTGCAGCCACAATGGGTCATTCATTGAACCCTGTTTCAACTGCTGTTTGAGGTCTCTCCAAAGACCCCCAAAGCAAATTTTGCACATACCGTAAGAACTATATTTAAAGTCAGACCGTCCCAAATGGCCCCTCACATATGGTGAAACTCTGTCCAATCCTCTTCACACAACATGGTGACAGGGAGAAAATTAATTCTATTTGTGTCTGCTTCACAGGGCAGCAGCAGAGTTGACCTTGCATAGCACATTCTAATCTTCTCCTAAATTTCCACTCTCTCTTCCAAATCCCTCCCTGTCATCTGAAGCCTCTTAGTCTCTCTGTGCGCATCTCAGGCTCCCTTACTATCTCTCTACCCAGTCTTTCAGTTTCAGTCTCTCTCTGCTCAATTTTAGATCCCCTTCTCTTCCCTCTCCCCAACCCCAAGGATGGAATCCAGGGCCTCACACATACTAAGCATGCTCTGCCACTGAGCCATGCCCCAGCCCTGGGGATCCCCTTCTGTCCCCTTCACCTATCACATTTCCATTACACAATGCTACCCCTTGTTAAAATACAACTTAGATAGATAGATAGATAGATAGATATTTTTTTCATTTTTTCCCCCAAGCATTTCCTAAGTCATTTACTTAATTTGGTATACAGGAGATAACAATCATATTCTAGTGGTTGCCACTTTAACTGTGAAAATAGTCAGGAGGATGGTTTTTGTTTCTTGTAGTCTCTGCGTCTCCTCCAGTGGGGATTTCTGTCTGCTTCTTTCCCTGATGGTGGGACAACAGCATGTTAAGGATCCAGCCCCAGTGAACAGTCTCCATGAAGTAGTTTTCTAAGTGTTGTGCACGGATTTGACTCCATTTGCCTTCTTGCCTCCACTCCATGGGGCGGGGGGAAGAGGATACAGCAGCAGGCTGGCTGGTGTTAGAGGACCGGCTCTAGCCAAAGATGACACTAAGGCTCACATTCACCTGTGTGGATAGGCCAGGCTTATCAGTGCAGAGATCTCACCAGCTTTGGCCAAAGCCCAGCAGGTCCTCAGGGTTCCCTTCCTCCTGACCATCGTGTAACATGCAGTTAAACCAGGCCACCCTCTGCTTTCTGCCTGTTCCCCACTATAAGATGCACAGCCATGGGGTGACTGTATTTTTCAGATGGCTCCTATAATCCTGGAAAACAGAACATAGTCCTGGAGCCTACACGGAGCTGATAGGCCAGGGCAAGAGGATTTAGCCATCAGCCAAAAACCCCAGGGGGCAGGAAAAGCTCTTATTTTTAACTTTATTTACAATTCACCTATCTTTTGAGCTGTGGTTGGTCTGAAGTTCTCTGCCAATCCACTATTTGTTTAGGATAGGAATAAAGGAAGTATATGACATGATAAAACCAGAAGGCAGCAACCTTAGCAGGCCCTTGGGGATTTACACAAATTGCTCTAATAAATGAATCCATTAACTAAGTGAAATCAGGCATTAAGCATAATGGGAATTTATGAGCTCTGCTTCTCATTACTATTTTCTTTTTATTGGCTGTCAGGGGAGGGGATTATCTGTGTTTGTGCTGGAAGATAGAGAAGATCAAGCCCAATGAACTCTATGTCTTCATTATGCACTAAGTCCAGCCCTTGGAGATTTGGGACAGTGGTGAGATTTTAGGAAAGCCAGGTGATTTTTCTTGATTTATCAGTGATACCAAAGTGAGAGGAGCATGGATTCTACTAGAACATCTGTGTGAGGCTGA